CTATTCTACTCCTGGGACTCGGATGGCAGGTAAACAAAGCCTCAGCATTGTTTTTCCAAACCCAAATCCCTGAGGAGAGGGGATCTGATACTCTAACTCCCAGATGGGAAGTAGGGCCTCTCAGTGACCACTCAAATGCTAATTCCCAGAGGAGGGGATCTGATACTTGACTTACAGGCAAGGATCAGCAATTCAGGATGGTCATTCCAGTCCCCCAGAGTGGATCTGAGACTTAGATCTCAGGTGTACCTCTCTATTCAGGAGAGAGGATTTCAGACTATGGTGAAGAACAGGTTGTCAGTGCTACTACTTTGACTCCAGCAGCAAATGGCATAGCATCTAAATACTTAAAGGAAAAAGTAAATTATTTATAGGCATAATTAGACAGTAAAACTATAATACTGGAGGATTTTAGTATACTCCTTTCAGAACTAAACAAATCTAACCAAAAATAAACAAGAAAGAAGATAAAGGCTTGAATAGAATTTTAGAAAAGTTAGATATGACAGAGCTCTGGCAATGAATAGAAAGGAACCATACATATATTTTTAGCTGTCATAGGGCTTTTATTAGGTCATAAAAACCTCACAAATAAATGCAGAAAAAGAGTAATATTAAACACATCATTTATGTGTTTATACAATGCAATAAAATAAATGAATAAATAAATATTTGCAATATTTATCTGTAAACAAATGGAATAAAATTTTAAAAGTATATTTAATAATGGTCCAACAAAAAAAAAAAGTTAACTGGAGACTAAATATTTAACTTAATTCTAAAGAACTGATGAGTCAAAGAGAAAATCACAGAAACAATAGCTAATTTCATTAAAGATAATGACAACAATGATACAACATACCAACATTTTTAGGATGCAGCCAAAGCTATTCTGAGGCAAAGATTTATAACACTAAAGACTTTATTCAACAAAAGAAATAAAAGATCAATGAATTGGACATGCAACTAAAAAAGCCAGAAAACCAAGAAATTTTTAAAAACCCAAAGTGAATACCAAAATAAAGATATCATAAAGTTATGAAATAAAAAAAAAACTAACAAATAAAAATTAAGACCAGTTTTTAAATAAAAACACAAACTACTAGCTAATTTGAGAGGAAAACCAAGTTATCAGTATCAAAAATGAAAAAGAATGACAAATGAGGAAGAAATAAAGTATATCATTAGAAACTGATTTTGCCCAATTATATACTAATAAAACTTATAACTTGAATAGTTCTATGAAACATTCAAAGAACATTAATTTCTATATTATGCAAATTGTTTACAAAAATAGCAGTAGAAGGGAACCTACTAAATTCCTTTATGACACAAATATGGTCTTGACTGCTAAACTCAGGAGATTTAAGACAGAGAATGAAAATTACCGACATTATCTCTAATGAACATTGATTTAAAAAATTTAAACAAAATATTAGCAAAGAGGCTGCAGCAACATATCATAATGACTACATATTTTGATTAGGTTGGAATTATACTAGTAATGCAGAGTCAGCTTAATATTAGAGGAACCATAAATATAAATAACTATATTAATAACAAGACCTACAAAAATAATATAATTATATCAATAGATGAAGAAAATACTTTCAAGAGAATACAACACTAATTTCTGTTCAAAACACCAGAAAATGTAGAAATAAGTGTACTTTTCTTTATCATGGTAAATAGTATATATCTAAAACCAAGAACCAACATTAATAGGTAATGGGGATAAATGAGTCATTTCTAATATGATCAGAGGTTAAGCAAGGACATCTATCCATTGTCACCACTTCTATTTGATATGGTACTAGAAATGCTAACTGTAGCAATAGAATAAAGGGAAAGAAATTGAGGAAACAAGAACAGACAAAAAAAAATCACTTTTTGAAGATAATATGATGGTATATTTAGAGAACCCTAGAGAGTCAACTCAAAATTAATTAAAATAATAACTTCAGCAGAGTTGCTGGATGTAAAATAAATCCATGCAAATCATTAGCATTTCTGTATATTACCAATAAATCCAGGAGCAAGAGATAGAAGAGAAATTCCATTTAAAAAAGTGAAGAGTGTGAAAAATACTTGGGAATCTATCTACCAAAATATGCACAAGAACTATATGAATAAAATTACAAAATACTGTTTTAAGAAATGCATGCCTAAATAATTGGGAAAATATTAATTTTTCATAGGCAGGCCAAGTCAATATGATAAAAAATGATAATACTATCTAAATTAATTTACTTATTTAGTACCATACCAATCAAACTATAAAAGGAATACTTATGTAGAACTAGAAAAAAATAACAAAATTCATCCAGAGAGACAAAAGTCACTAATGTCACAGGAAATAAGATCATTAAATAATAAAAAAAAAAAAGTGGGAAGGAAGTAGAAAGGAAGGACCTGAGTAGTATCATATATCAAAGTGTACTACAAAGCAGAAATCACCCAAACAATTTGGTACCAGTTAAAAAACAGAAAGGATCAGGGGAACAGATTAGGTATGTGACATGTAGAAGCAAACACAATAGCTTAGACATAGTAGTATAAGAAGTAGTGTAAGAATTTAACAAAAACTGCTGGGAACACTGAACATCAGCATGCTAGCAATTAACTTTAGATCAACAACTCACATCACATGCCAAGACATTTGCCAAATTAATATAAAATGCTACACCATAAATAAATTAGAGGAACAAGGAAGAAATTACCTTTCAGATTTATGGATAGGGGAAGAGTCCATGATCAAACAAGGGACAGAGAGGATCACATAAGAAAAAATGTACAAGTTGGTTATATAACACTAGATTATTTTTTTTTTGCACAAACAAATCCAATGCAGTTAAGACTAGAAGAGAAAGAGTAAAATGGGAAAAATCTTTGTGGCAAGGAAAATAATTTATACTGCAATACCAATAATTTTTGAAAGACTTAACTCTAATCAATGCAATGAGCAACCATTATTCCAGAGGACAAATGACGAAAAATACTACCCACCTAATGAGAAAAAAGGATGGATTAAACAGCAGCTTGGTATTGTTTGACTATGCTCATTTGTTACAAGAGTTTTGTATTTCTTTTCTTTTTTTTCTTATAGTGTATGCATGTGGGGGGGGGGAGACAGAAAAAGATTGATGCTTGATAATTAAAAATCGATAAAATAACTAATGATTCACATCAATCTTTTCATCTTTACAAAACCTTTATGATAATAAGTTATGTATTATCAAGGGTATTCTTGATGAAAATGTAAAACAACAATTTAAAAATATAAACCAAACAGTACATACACAACAAGCAGTCTTTTATAAATAATATTCAACAACAGAATACATCTTGACAGTTATACAACTGTCTTAAAAATGTAGAGAATATAAAATCGCACTATAAATATTATTTGTTGGCTATAAAAAGCACTGTATTATCCCCAACCTTAGAGGCTCTCTATCAATAAGATTTCTCACATGCTTATATGAATATCATAAGACTGATGAAACAACAGATAAACTGATGATCTTGATTACTAATATCAAGAAGGCACAAAACAAGTAGATGTATGCTCACTGTAGGTATCACTATCCTAAAGGATGTCCAGGAATGAAGGAAGGAAACAAGGACTTATTAAGCACCTACTATGTTCCAGACACTGTGCTAAGCTTTTTATAAATTCTATCTCATTTGATCCTCACACTAACCCTGTGAAGAAGGTGCTATTATTATCTCTGTCATACAGTTGAGAAAACTGAGGCAGGCAGAGACTAAGTGACTTGCCCAGGAGTCACAAAGCTAGTAAGTGTCAAAGGTTGGAGTTAGATATTCCTGACTCCAAGCCCAGCCATCTATATGCACCACCAAACTGCCTCTGTCCAGCACAGACTACAAATAGAAGAGATTCCCTGTGGCTTATGAGGTCCTCCAGATAGTTTTACTTGTAGATTACATTATGTTGCTTTTATCAAACCATAAAACATTTCTGAGACTCCTAAATGACTTTTAAAGTCATTCAAAAGAATTTGGTTTGATTAGATAAAGACTATGATCTAGATTATGCAATGCAGTAGTATGAACAGATCATGGAGCTATTCTATTGGTATCTATATCTTTGCAACAGACAATGAGCTGAACACAAAATTGAATAGGAATAAGAAAACAGATCGACTAGATTTTAGTTGGAAAATTCCACTGTGCTTTCAATTACCCCAAGCTTCTCCCTGAAACAAAATCCCTACTTTTTAATATCAGTATTCTCTTGATGAAGCTATATAGCAATGAATCATAGAAAGAGTAGATTCTCTAAGAAATCTAATTCAATGAAATGTAACAAATATTTATGAAGAGGCTACTATGGGGAGAGCAAGGCATTTATGGTTCCAATGATACAAAGACAGTCCTTGCCCTTACAGAACATACATTCTTCTAGTAGGGACACAAGATACACAAAAGTAAATAAATATAAAATAGTATAAACTAATGTGCAGAGAAAAACAGGGCTGCTACATAGAGAGACCAGAAAGGGCCTCACCCAGCAAGTTTCTGACTTGTGCCTTGGAGTAAGGGTGAAGAAGAACAAAAGGCAGCTCATGGTCTGCACCCACAGCCACACATAGTCAGGCGATCTGAAGGAAGGCCGTCGGCAATGTGAATGCCCCACCAAATGGAGGGGGTGTGAGCCGTATCATGGAGGGAGTGATCACATTGATAAGATCATAGATCTATTTCAATATTAAAGAACAAGAACACTCTATAACTTTAACATTCTAATAAATGTTTGTTGAATTGATGGCCATATTTTTGGAATTAGTAGAATTTTTTTTAAGAACATATTCTTTTTCCTACATGCAGTTGTGCCATATAGGTTGCGTAGATATTGGACGAGTGAGCTGGTATAGCTGTGACTTAGGCAGTCATTTTTTTTTTTGCCTGCAATGACCTTCCTATCCTTTGCCACAAACATGTATTTATGGATAGATGGGAAAAAGAAATGAACACACCTGCATTTCTCAGGAACCGCTTTTTGTAGTCTCTGATCACCCTCACTTTTGGGTCATAGAACCCATCTCCACAGTCGTAACAACCATCAGGAATTTTTCGAGGTGGATCTATGTTGGTGAGCTGAGAAATACCTGAAAAGGACACAACAAGATTAATTCACTGTTAACAACTGAATCACATGGCCAGATTTATAGCACATAATGCATCTGTTATATGGTCCCTTCGGTCCTAGTATCTATTTTCTCCTTTTCCCCCCTAAGCTTTAGTACTCTGTGTTATAATTTCCTTCCAACTACAACATTCCACGTTCTAAGGTCTCGTTTGGTTCAGATATTCTATTACTCTTATAAGATATCAAGAGGAAGTAGCTCAAGAGGAGGAAACATAATGGTTGTAGAGGACAGTGCAAAGTCATTGAGGTTGAGGCTAGAAGAATAATTCATTATTTATTCAACTGAAACGCCAAAGGTACCAATGGTCTCTTAATTGTCAAATCTAATGCCCTTTTACAAATCTGTACTGCATTTGACACTGTGGACCACCATCTCCTCAACACTTATTTCTTTCTAGGCTTTCACGACACTGCTTTCTCTTGGTTCTCCTCTTAGCTCTCTCAGTCTTCTTTTCTGGTTCTCTATCCATGTCATGTTCACTAACTATTGCTCTCTCCTTAACTCTATCCCAGTCTTTCTTCTCTTTTCGCTATACAGTGCCTTACTAGATAATCTCATCAACTCCCATGGTTAAATTATCATCTCTATGCAGATGATTCCCAGTCCTATTTAACTAGTCTCTCTCCAAAGTTTCAGTCCTACACCAACTGCCTTAGAAATCTTGAATAGGAGGGTCCATAGGCATCTCAAAATCAATACATCTAAAACAGATCTCATTAGCTTTCCCCTTCAAATCCTTTGTCCTTCTGAACTTCCTGATTACTGTAGAGGGCACCTCCATCCTCCCAGTTATCCAGGATTGCTACCTCAGTGTCATCCTCAACTCTTCTCATTCATTGACCATATAGGAATCTCTTGCCAAATATTGTCATTTGTCTGTCACAACATCTCTCATTTATGCCCTCTTCTCTCCTTTCCCACAGACACTACTCTCTTCTGTTTGGCATTTAAAGTTTTTCATAATCTGGCCCCTTCCTACCTTTATAGTCTTCTTACATTTTTTTTTGCCTTCACACACTCTGTGATCTAACTATATGGGCCTACTTGCGATTGTCACACACAACACTTCCTCTCCCGTCTTTTTGTCTTTATACTGGTTGTCCCCCATATCTGGAATGCTCTCCCTACTTACCTCCACCTCTTGTTTCCCTGGCTTTCTAGATTTGACACAATGCTGCAGGAAGCCTTTCTAAGTCTCTCCAGCTGGTGTTTTTCCTATCTTTCTAATCCACTCTGCATCTCAATGGAACAAGATGCCTCTCTGGCAGGACAAACTCAACACCTCTAATCATCACATCACACAAGCCTTGGGATTTCACTGCTCTCAGACTGGAGGGATGGAGAGCGCCAATACTTTCCTTTATAGAGGGCAGGACTTGGACTTCACTTGGCATCTGCTGCTTTGCCTGGTTTCAACTCTAAAGAAACCAGAACACCCTTCCTCCCCACCCCCACACCCGTTTCAGCTTCCTTTGTGTGTTATCTTTCCCCATTCAATTATACACTTCTTAAGGGTAAGAACTATACCCAAAGACCCCAGCTTCTGGGATAAGAAATCACTATTTGACAAAAATTGCTGGGAAAACTGGAAAAGAGTATGGCAGAAACAAGCCTTAGGCCAAAATCTCACACCATATACCAAAATAAAGTCAAAATGGGTTCATATTTTAGATATAAAGGCCGATACTATAAGCAAACTGGGAGAGCAAGGAATAGTTTACCTGTCAGATTTATGAAGAACAGAAGAATTAATGACCAAATAGGAGATAGACAACATTATGAAATGCAAAATGGATCATTTTGATTACATTAAATTGAAAAGTTTTTGCACAAACAAAGCCAGTGCAACAAAGATTAGGAGAGAAGTAGAAAATGGGGAAAGAATTTTTACAACCAGTGTCTCTGATAAGGGCCTCATTTCTAAAATATATAGAGAATTAAGCCAAATTTATAAGAATATAAGTCATTTCCCAATTGATAAATGGTCAAAGAATATGAACAGGCAGTTCTCAGATGAAGAAATTAAAGCCATTTATAGTCATATGAAAAATGCTGTACATCACTATTGAATAGAGAAATGCAAATCAAAACAACTCTGAGGTACCACATCACACCTATCAGATTGGCCAACATGACAAAACAGGAAAATGATAAATGTTGGAGAAGATGTGGGAAAATTGGAACACTAATGCACTGTTGGTGGAGCTGTGAAATGATCCAACGATTTTGGAGAGCAATTTGGAACTATGCCCAAAGGGCTATAAAAATGTGCATACCCTTTGACCCAGCAATAGAACTTCTAGGGCTGTATCTGAAAGAGATTATAAAAATGGGAAAGGGACCCATACGTACAATAGTATTTATAGCAGCCCTTTTTGTGGTAGCAAAGAATTGGAAATTGAGGGGATGCCCATCAATTGGGGAATGGCTGAACAAGTTGTGGCATATGAATGTAATGGCATACTATTGTGCTATAAGAAATGATGAACTGGCAGACTTCAGAAAAACCTGTAAAGACTCATATGGACTGATGCTGAGTGAAGTGAGCAGAATCATGAAAATGTTGTACACAATAATAGCCATATTGTGCTATGACTAATATTGATAAACTTAACCCTTCTCAGCAATACAAGGATCTAAGACATCTCCAAAGGCCTCATGATGGAAAAAGCTATCCACATCCAAAGAAACAACTATGGAGTTTGAATGCAGATTGAAGCATACTATTTGCTATTTTTTTTTCTTCTGCTCTGTTTTGTTCCCTCTTTCTTCTGGTTCTTCCTATTGGTTCTAATTCTTCCTTACAACATCACTAATGTGAAAATATGTTTAATAGGAATGTATATGTATAGCCTATATCAGATTGCGCTGTCTTGGAGAGGGAGGGGGAGAAAAATTTAAAACTCAAAAGCTTATGGAAGTGATTGTTGATAAATAAAAATTAATTGATAAAAATTTAAAAAACTATCTTTTTGTATCCACAGAGCTTAAATTGTGGGTATATAGTAGGTACTTAATCAATGCTTATTGAATTGGATTGAATTCCTAAGGTGACAATCTTTTGTGCATATAGTTTATATATACCTAGTTTCCATGTTGTCCTTCCGTTCTGGGAAGGGTCTATTTTTGCCTTCATTTGTATCCTCGATAGGGAACATAAAGCTTGATACATAATGAGTGCTTAATAAATGCTTTTTGACTTACTTACTAGATCTATCTGTAACCTCAAACAAGTCTCTTTACCTCTTTGGGCCTCAGTGTACTTATTTATAAAATCATGAATACAGTTATCCCTTCCACAACATGGGGGTTAGGGGCGTAGCACCGCCCCCCTCAAACCCAGCAATATGGAAAATCCCTATAAAACTTTTTGGCCCTCCTTTTGTACCAGAGAAGAAGTCTGAATTTTTTCTTTTTCTTTTATGGGTGCTTATCATACTGTCGTAAAATTTGGGTTAAGTATTTGGTCATAGGCTCTGTGTTGTCTGCTGGACTTTGTGTGGTCATCTGAGATTTCCACAAAACTCCCCAAAAAACTCCCATTTAATTTCTTAAGACGATCCGTGATATATCAAAACCACAATGGGGAAAAGTTGCGATGTGAAGGAATAGTTGTACATTTATACTACCTAATTCTCATAGTCGTTATTAAGATGGTGCTGTGTTAACCTCAAGATACTATAGAAATGGGAATAATTATCATATTGGAAAGATTTTCCTGTCAAGACTATCATAAACATTGCTTACACCGTTGATGCTCTGTTATTATCTTCCACTCTTTAGCTTTACCTCAACAAACTTAAAAACAAACCTATTGTCTTCCCCCAACCCCTACCCTCACTCAGTTTCAAGATTATAAAAAGGAAAATAATTTTTGTACCTGCAGGCTTCAGGCCTTCACAGATTTCAGTGTAAAATCTTCTGTCATAGCCATCACAGTAATGCCATTTATTTTCCTTGTATTTTAGGCCATCAGCAAAGGTGTATTTCCCCTGAAAGACAAGTCATATGCCTGTCTAATGAATCTGAGACCTGAGGAGTAAGTATTCACCTTTGGGGTCTTGAAAAGGATAGCCTCAAAGGAGGAAGGGCAGGGTCACTGATGAGGAGGGCCAGTCTGCAGTTGGAGAAGCATGTGCATAAAGATGACTTCCAAACCTACACTCTTTCCCATGCTCTAGAATTACATCTCAAAGTACATACTAGAAACCTCCACCTTGATGCCCTGCCTACACTTCAAATTCATCATACCTCTATCTGAATTCAACATCTTCGCCCCTACAACTTCTTTGACTTCTAACTTTTCTATTTCTACGATACCACCACTTTTTCAGTTACCTATGTTAAAACCAGTAATTTTTAAACCTTTCTTTCTCTCTTCCCCATATCCATAGCCACATAGTCACTAAGTTCTATTGATTCTATATCCACAATGTCTTTTACATCAATCTGCCCTTTCCATTTCCACTATTCCCATCCTTCTTCAGACTCTCATTACTTCTTGTCTGTTCTATTTGAATATCCTTCTTACTCATTTGTCTTCTGCCAGTCTCTTGCTTCCTCTATATACTACTGCCAGATTTATCTTCCTAAAGTATAGATCTTATCATGCCACTCCCCTTCAAAGCCTACCTCTCCCTACAGAATTCACAGAATAATAGGAGTCATTCAGTTCAAAATCCTTAGCCTCATTCTTCACAATGTATCTCCAAACTACTTTTCCAGACATCTAATACACCAACTTTGATTGAATACTTAATGTTCCCTGTACAGACTGTCCCATTCTTTCTTGCCTCCATATCTTCATTCAGGCTGCTCTCAAGACAAGGTAACCCTCATTTTCTAATTTGCCTGTTGAAAATCTATATATTTTTCCAGGCTAATCATAAATGCTACCTCCTTTAGGAAGCCTTGTCTTTCCCTTCTGAATGCCTACATTACTATTTGTCCTTCTCAATGGAATTTATCACATTTTGCCTTGCATTAGCAATTTGTATCCATATCTTATTGCCCCCATTGGCCTGTACACTCTTTAAAGGGAGAGCTCAGAAGTTATTCCTCTTTGAACCTCTGCTCCTCACCCCCTTCTCCCACCAACTCACCAGTGCCAAGCACGAGGCTTTGCTCACCATTTGTTGGTTGTTGAATGATAATTATTGTCTAACTTTTAGCTTCATTTAAATTATTTATACAAAGATATACTTAAATGTAATCAAAGATATATTCCAGAGTTTATTGAAAGGAGGGAGAATTCTCAAGTATACATAATAAAGACTTAAAGGGAAGATTTAGGGGACTCCAAGCATAGGAGTATATCCTCTCAATCAAAAAACTCTTTTGTGGTGCCCGTTACATTTATCATTTCAGTAGGTTCACTTGTGTCTTAGAGCATTGGATTTGCAGTAAGGGACCTCAGTTTGAATCTTGGTTCTACCACTTACTAGCTATGTGACCTTGTGCAAGGTTATAGGATTATAGAATTTAGAGGTAGAAGGGACCTTGGCTGTCATCTAGTTCAATACCTTCATTGTTTTGATAAGGAAATTGAGAACTAGAGAGTTCAAATAATTTGTCTGAGGTCATATAGGCTGCATAGTATAGTAGAAAGAACACTGGATTTAATATTAAGCGACTTCAAATCTCAGCTCAGCTATTTACTACTTGTGTGACCTTGGGGAGGTCACATAACCTCTCTGATCATCAATTTCCTCATCTGTATCTACTAGATGAAAGCTCTGATACTTAGTGTTTGAAGCTGAGAAAGGGGATACAAAGATGTGTAGGACATGACCCTGCCCTTAGGAATTTCGATCTAGTGAAGAAGACAAAAATTTAAAAACAAATCGCTATAACATAAGACAGTGTGTGATAAGTGCCCCTGAGAGCACCAGAGTGTTGTGAACATTCAGAGAAGGGAGGACTCAAATCTGCTTGGTAAGATTAAGAAAGGGAAGACTTCCTGGAGGTGATGGCATTCAGGATGGGCCTAAAAAGATGGAGAGGTTTTCAAGAAACAGAAATTCAAGGAGGAAGGGTAAAGGAATGGGTGATCTTTTAGCTCTCTTCCTTGTATAAATCCTAAGTAACAGAATCAGGATTCACAACCAGGTCTTCTGACATTCTCCATAAGCCTAATTTTCCTCCTTTGCAAAATGAGGTAGTTAGGTGATTCAATAGATAAAGCACTGGGTCTAAAGTCAGGAAGACCTGAGTTCAAATTTGACTTAAGATGCTCACTAGATGTGTGATCTTGGGCAAGTGACTTAAGCTCTGTCTGTTTCAATTTTCTCAGCTGTAAAATGGGGATGACAGTTACCTATCCACAGGGTTGTTAAGAGAATAGGAGATAATATTTGTAAAGTGCCTATCACATAGTAAGTGCCACATAAATGCTAGTTATTGTTAGTAAAATAGGGACAAAAATCTTTGCATTTCCCATCTTGAAAGGTGATTATTAGGAAAACACTTTGTAAACATTAAAGCACTGTAAATATGAGCTATTATTTTTCATTATTTTTGTATCTCCTGAAGTTGGTCCTTTATATGCACAGAAGTTATATGTACCCTTTGAATATAATTATTTAATAAATGCTTATTGGCTGAATTAATGGGCATTGAATAAATCTTTGTTGAATAAATCTTTGTTGAATGAGTTAATGATTAAACTGTGTACAGCAGAGAAAGACAAGGCTTTCTATTCAAGGGCCTCTGTTCTGGAAAGCACTAGATCGCTGTTGTGTCTCCTGGAAGAAGCTGAGTACCTTTATGATTCTTCCCTTTTCCCATGTGGCATCATATTGGCTCCCATTAGGAAAATACAAGGTTCCTTTGCCGTGAAACATTCCATCTTTCATTTCCCCTTGATATTTTGTTTCCGTTGGGAGAATGTACGAGGCCTGGCCCTCCATCCTGTTTTAAGAAAACACACAGAATTTCACGGAACATTATTTACAATAAGAAAAAAATTGGAAACAAAATGTATGGGGAACTGGAAACTGGGGAATGGCTACACGTACTATAGTACATCAACGTAATGGAATTTTACTGTGCTACAAGGAATGACAAATATAAAGAATTTAATGAAACACAAGGAGTCTTACATGAAGTGATAGAGTCAACAAAGCAGAATCAAAAGGACAATATATATATTACAACTACATAAATGAATACAACTTCAAACAACATCAAAACTCAGATGAAGAATAATGGACGTTGAAATTAACTTGTAAGGCATACACTCATTCTTTTAATAAACAGAAAACTACTAAAATGTAAGGTTGCATGTAATCACCACTATAATCACTCATTTATGTTGTTTTACTTGTTTGGGGGAGATTTTAATATTGTAAAATTCAATTGCAAGTATTTTGGGGCTTTAAATTGTATAATATGGCAAAACAAAATTTATCAATGAAAATTAAAAAAAAAATTCATTGAGTTCTAGAAATGTTACCACTGGAAGGAAATTTAGAACCAAGAATGTTAGAGATGCAAATCTGAGATCATAAAACATTCAACTATGGAATGTGGAAAGTTAGGAGATGGAAAGGGTGTTAGAATATAAAATATTAGAATGTATATTGTTATGCCTGAAATAGGTCATAGAACATAGAATTTTAGTGCTAAATAGGACCTTTAAACATAGAACATTAAAACGCAGAACACAAAAAGAGTATGTTAGAAATTAGAACCAGACTGTTACCGGGATAAGACTTGGAATATAGAACATTAGAGCAGCCTTAGAGATAGACATCACCTAACTTTTTTCATTTAACAGATGAGAACTGAGGTCCAGGGAGGAAAAAGTGATTTGGTGCAAGTCACACAGCTAGACAGAAGCAGAGCTTGGAAAATTGAGGGTCATTCCAATTCACCAGGGTGCCTTTCCATATCATGTGAATTTTTTGTTGTTGTTGTTCATAACCTCAAAAATTGGAAGGATGGGAAGGCAGTTTTTAGTCATGCTGTACCAACGTAGGTAGAGACTAGTGTCACAACACAATGTCTCCATTTTCTCAACTTCAAAATGCAGAGTTGGTCCTTTCAGCTCTGACCGTCTATGATGAATCTGGCCGGGGTTGTGGGGAGAGTGTGTTTCTGGGGAGATGTGGGATTAAGAAGTTTGACAGGCTTGGAGGAGATGTGTTAGGACATGACAGAGGGTGGGCAGGGGAAGGGAGCGCCAATTAAGTCACGACATACTATGTAGAGAGGGAGGCGCTGTCGCGATAAGGCAGGCTAGTGGATGCGCACTTAGGTTTCACTAGGCCCGTTGGTCGGGTTGGCCTCAAGACACTGCAGCGGGACTTCTTGTTGCTATCAGGGAGGAAGGCACAGCAAGGCTGGGGCTGGGAGGAACTGTCCTTTGATTCTTCTCCTTCCGCTTCCATCTTCTTGCCGGGCTACTGCCGTGTGTTTACAACGTTCTTTCCTTACCTTCCATGAACAAATCCACCAAAGTACTTGCTGCCGGTGTACTGCATTGCGTCCGCTCCCTTCACATCCAGGCCCAGCCACTGTGTACAGGGCCCTCACCATAGCAACCAGTCTTGCGCATGCCCCGTCGCCCCCCAGGCGCCAGCCTTCCATTGCGCTTGCGTACAGCCCCGGGTAACGGGCTGAGCGACGGCCTGCTCTGGCTACCGCGTCTGCGCATGCGTCATTGCGGTGCGACTCGAGAGGAGAGTCCGGGAAAGGGGAGTTCAAGGAGATCCAGGGTAGAGCAGGCCGGCTTGGGCTCCGTGCGCTGCCGCCGCCATGCCAGGTGTGGTGGAGCTGCCCACCTTGGACGAACTCAAAGTGCAGGAGGTGAGGCCCCGCTCGCGGTGAGCAATAGACGGAACGGCGGCCCGAGCCCCGGCCCTGCACCTTCCGGGCCTGGCTCCTCTCCGCGCGTCCTGGAGCCCCTTAGGCCGGCCTCCTGCCCTTTCCCCCTGATCCCCTCCCCCGGCCCAGGATTCTCTGCCCTCTCACCCCATTCTCTTTTTATTCATCCCACATTCTCTTCCAAGTCACCCCGTTCTTCTCCCTGTAACCCCTGTTTTCTTCCTATTGACCCCTGCGTTCTCTTATTAGTCACTCACATTCTCTTCTCTGTCACCCCCGTTCTTCTCCCTGTCTGTCACCCCCACATTCCCTGCACAATTATCTCCCTCATTCTCTTCTAAGTAAGTAAATTAATGACTGTACTTTACCACGAAATTGTCCGTCATCATCCTCTCTACCTCCCCCACTGGGGCCTAACTTACCTCCACCCCTCACCGTTACTTTCTGATGCTCACCTCTTCCTGGGCCAGATTTGGGAGACCCTTAAATGGCTGCACCTGCCTATTACATGAGGGCAGCAGTGGCTTTTCCTGTAGGACAGGCTCTCCCACCTCAATTCACTCCCTAAACACCTGATTGTTGATCCCTTCTTTCCAGGTATTTTTCCTTCAACTCTCTACCAAACTTGAAACCTTCCCACCTCCCATTTTCCACCTAGAGTGTTCCTCAATTCTCTCAGACTTTACCTTTCCACCTCCTATAAGTGGAAAGCCTATGGTCCCTGGCATCCTTTCCCCTCCTTTAGATTCTCTTTAGTCTTTCTGGATGTAAGCATAAGCCCATATTTGTGGATCCTGAGGTATACTCCCTGTCGTTGTGAGGCACTGTCACCAGTCATTTTACTTTCTCTCTGTCCTGATGGTGTCAGTCTGATGTGTCTGTGTCCAGAACTTAATGAGGGGCCTATCCTTAGCATCAGGAGAGTCTTTTTAGCTTTGGGCAGTTGACTGAGACCTCAGACTCAATAGTTGTCACCTGAGTCCTATAGCTTGTAAACAGTAAGTAGCCAGTAGCAAAAGTTGGGCCCCAGGAACCTGCGCATTATGGTTCTATTTCTAGCTGCCATGGATGGCAGCCTGACCTTGTCTGCACTATGTTGGAGTGGAAGGAACCCCAGAATGGAAATTAGGAGAACTCTGTCAGTATTCCCTTGGCTAATTCAATAACTATTTGACTTTGTCAGAGCAAGAACAGAGTATATGTGTACTCTAGGAGAGATTTGAAAATTGCATACCTAATGTGTTGGTCAGTTTTGCTGAATTTTATTTCTTTGTCTAAATTTTTTTTTGTTAGATGGCATGGCTCATTAGATAAGTGGTAGGAGGGGAGAATATTTAAAAGTAAAGATGATGAAAAAACAAAAGATATCAATATCCTGATGAAAGTATGAGCCATCATTAGAATATATGCCTCTTGATTTGTCACTAAATAACTTTTTTAGGATTGTGGAAAGAAGTTTTCTGGCATGAATGTAAGGGGTTTTTTGTTTTGTTTTGGGGGGGGATTTTTTGGTTACATTTTATTTTTTAGGGATTTGGATGAAAACTAGAACTGTGATTTCATTAATAGAGGGAACTCTTAGGTGAGGAAACTCCCTCTGTCAATGCTGGTCTGCACTTTCTCTTCAATTTATAGCTTTAGAGAGTTGCACTGAGAGGTTAAGGACAAAAGGGTTATTAGGTGAAGCCTGAATTTGAGCCCTGGTCTTAAAAAGCACTGTAAAGCACTATGAGGACAGTAATCTCTCTTATTTAAACTTTGTGTTTCTCTTGACACCTAACCCAGTGTTAGGTGGATGAAAATGAATAAATTAATGAATGATCTACTTTTTAACCCAGTAGAACTTGGCAGTCAGACTGGCATTTGTCCGAGTCCTAACATTTACTAGCAATGGGGTTGTTATCTGTCCACATCAGAGGGTGGTTGTAAGGCAAGTGTTATCTAAAATCTTAGTATTGTATACATGTGAAGTGATATTGTTATTATGAGAAATTAATTGGTACATATGAATACTTAAAGAATATTTATAAATACTTAAAGACTTTTCAACCAACAGGAATCTATTTTGGAAAAAGATACTGAATAAATGTGTGAGGATAGTAAAGAGCTGTTAATGACTTTTAATTCAATAAATATTTGTTGAGTGCATGCTATATTCAAGGCCCTGAGATAAATGTTAGGAGTGGGGGTGGGGTGGGGTGGGGATTAAGTCCGACCTAAACCCTCCTCTCTTCTCCCTCTATGCTTGATCTCATAGCTCCCATGGATTTAATTACCATCTCTGTGCTGATGATTCTCAAATCTGCCTATCCTGCCCAGCCTCTCTGCTTATTTACAATCTCAAATCTCCAACTGGCTTTCAGACACCTCAGACTTGCTATCCAGTAAACATATTAAATTCAGCATGTCCAGAATGGACCTCATTATCTGCCACCTAAGTCTTCCCCTGCTACTGTAGTGGGTATCACCATCCTCCAGTCCCCTCAGGCTTGAAGCCTAGGAGTCATCACTATCTCTCACTGTTCCTTCCCACCCAATATCCAGTCTGTTGCCAAGGCCTGTCAATTTCACCTTTCCAATGTCTTTCATACATACCCCCTTCTCTCCTCTGTTACTGCCACCACTCTAGTGCAGCCCTCATCACCTTGAACCTTGATTATTGCAATAGCCTGCTATTGTTATCTGTCTCAAGTCTCTCCCCATTCCAATCCATACTCCATTCAGCCATGAAAGTAATTTTCCTTGAGCAAAGGTTTGATCATGTCCTCTACTCAGAAAACTTCATTGGCGTCCTATTGCCTCCGGAATCAAATGCAAAATGTGTTATTTGGCTTTCAAAGCCCTTTATAACCCAGATGCCTCCTACCTTTCCAGTCGTCTTATACCTTACTGCCTGATACATAACTATTCAATCCAGTGACACTGTCCTCCTTGCTGTTTTTGAATGATACTCCATCTCTTAGCTTTTTATTATTTCCCTATTTATTCTGTATATAGCTTGCTTTGTATGTATTTGTTTGCATGGTATCTTCTGAATTAGATTGTAAGCTCCTTGAAAGCAGGGATTGTCTTTTGCCTCTTTTTGTGTATCCCCGGTGTTTAGCACAGTACCTGACACATAGTAGGCACTTAATAAATGTTTATTGATTGATTGATTGATTGATTCTATTGCTTCAAATATAAATATCAGGATTTCCTTCCCTACCAAATATGCCTCATACAAAACTTGCATGTGGTAAATGATTCTGCTACAGTTAGCTTTTAACCTCCTCACCTAGCCTTTACAGGATAAAAGACATCAGTCAAGTTTGGAATCTACAGTTGTGTTTCTAATAACTTTTTTTTTCTTAATATGAATTTGAATTTGTTGATGATGCTGGTTGTCATCTTGCTTCAACTTCAGGTACTAGACCTTTTTCCTTTGGGACCATGGCATCTTTTGACCATTTGGGCAATCTGTATCTCTTCCCTTACCATCTGTTTTTCACAGCAAATCTATACATAGTTTTTATTGTAGTTGTCTGTAATTATTTCATTATAAGTCCCTATTTTTCCTTTCAAATAAGTCTTTTAGGGCTGTTGCCTATATTTGGAGGCAGCTTATATTCTGACCAGTATAGTCACTAAAATATATGGTAAAAACATCATCCATTTCCTCAAGGAGCTTATAATCTAGTAGCACAAGTATGATTTATGATTAAGGAACTTGTTTTCATTCACAAATATGTAATTCTTTTAAAACTTTTCCTGCAGGTGAATGTCAGTTCTTCTGTACTAAAAGCTGCAGCCCATCATTATGGCACACAGTGTGATAAAGTCAATAAAGAATTTATGCTTTGCCGCTGGGAAGAAAAGGACCCAAGGCGATGTTTAAGCGAAGGGAAACTTGTCAATCACTGTGCTATTGATTTCTTCAGGTAAAGATTCTCTGTGTAAAAATGCCCTGATACAAAAGACCAGTTGGTTAACCAAAATTAATTCACTAAAATGCATACTATGTGAAAAGCATTATGCTAGGTTCTGGGGATACAAAGACAAAATAGTCCCTGTATTCAGAAGGCTTATATTGTACTCTAGGGATATGCAAAGTAATTTGAGACAGGACCAGTTAGTAATGGGGGAATCAGGAAAGGTATCATAGCAAAACCTGAAGGAAGATCAGAGGATCATAGACTTAAGAGATATAAGTACTTTATATATGACTTTATAAGTCATCTAGACCTGAGGTGTCAGACACCAGCTGCAACACTCCCCTTGCAGCCTGAACCTGATTAAAACAGAAAGGGGTGGGGGGACCCCCGAGGTGACAAGTAGGGGGGGCAGTGGATAGAGCTCTGGCCTTGGAATCAGGAGGACCTGAGTTCAAATGTGGCCTCAGCTTGACACTTACTAGCTCTGTGACCTTGGGCAAGTCAACCCAGATTGCCTCACAGAAAAGCAAAAAAGAAAAAAGTAATTGGGAAATATTTAACAAAATAAGTAAAAATACAATAAAACGTAGATAATATTAATATGTGGTTTTCTAAGTTAGTATTCCTACAGGAATCTTTATATATGGTTTGGTGGCCTCTATTTCTATATGAGTTTGATACCACTGATCTATC